GATTTGCAATCACATTGATGGCAGCTGCCATATGCAAACAGACTGCCCCTCCGTCAATGTATCACTCTCAGAAGGTTCTCATAACTCTCGACTATTTTTTTTTCTAATAATGTGGATCTACAATGACCAACGAGCATACCAGTCGCAGTCGCATGTGTCTGGTGAGCCTTTCTATGGTGTGGGTAACAGTTGATTGAAAATTGAGGCTCTAAAAAATGGTCTTTTTTCGAGCACGAATCGAAATATTGGTGTGGACCTTGAAAACTCAACCCTATTCATGACCACTTCCCCTATCACGGAAACCATTTCAACAGTATTATGGTTTGCTAGCCAGTCTTCATTCATCTGATAGTCGGCTTGTCGGTGGCTCTGTTAGTATGCGATATGGACTGCCTGTAGTAGTGAATTCTTTTGACAGTTTTGTACTACTATTCAGCTCCGATAGCCAGAATTTGAAGCTAAGAAATTTCGAAATTATCCATCTCCGGTCTCAATCGGACTGAAGAGTTGACTACGGCTGCTTAGTGTCTTGACAATGTCATATTTTTACCAAGTGCGAAACGCACTAAACATACCATCAGTTTTGGCTTTCTGACTGATGTCAAATCCTGGAATCACAAAATTTTCTCATGCTGGTCTCTGAGAGATGTAGGGAGAGTGCACTATCGACTAATTGACAACAGGCGATGGATAATGTTTGGAAGCAACAAGTGTGGATGAGGTTTGCAAATGCTAGAAAAAAGGTTCCTGGTGACAGTTGTCGAGTTAATAGGGTTACGAAGGAGATCGTTCTCCAGTGCCATACAACATCATCAGCCCTCACGTTTGCNGTGCACTATCGACTAATTGACAACAGGCGATGGATAATGTTTGGAAGCAACAAGTGTGGATGAGGTTTGCAAATGCTAGAAAAAAAGAGTCCTGGTGGCAGTTGCCGAGTCAATAGGGTTACGAAGAAGAACGTTCTCCAGTGCCATACAACATCATCAGCCCTCACGTTTGCCTCATCGTCTTATGAGAATACATCAGAATAATAAAACATTTAAGTATTGGCTGGCGAGACTGCAAACTCACAAGTCACCAAGACGAATTTGGTTCTTTTCTTTGCAAAACTGAAGCAGTTATCTTATATACACTCCCCTTTGTGCCTTTCAAGGAAATCTTCCGGCTTTTTATTCCCAGGTATATTCTCATACATGAGTATGACCTGGAGAAACGTATCTGGATGATTATTGCCTTTTTGTCACTTACTCTTCACTTAAAGAAGCCTAGAAGCTGTATCATCAACCTCTTTGAACTGCTTTCATTTTTTCGTCTGGCGGTCTTCCTGAATATATTGTAGTTGCTCATACCTCTGCCAATCTGTCACTCGATAATGATTGATAACCTTCATTAGCACTTCTCAACTGCCTGTCGATTTTGAACCTACAAAGTTGTTCGAATGTTTATGCCATTTTTTCATTGAAAACACCTTATCACATGCCACCAATCCTTGCCATCTCCTCGCTATTTCCTGCCGTTTACCTTCACTCACCACCTTTCACAAACTACTGACGGGCCTATGTTCCTGCCCGTACTCCTCCGCAAATGGCCAGTTCCTCAGCTACCCGGGCAAGATGGGACAGAAGTCGGATTCACCTGAGAGTTCGAGATTCTGAATAAAAGACTAATGCCATGGGCATTTCAGAAAACGAATCGATCCAAGCCAGTTGGCGGATTTCCCCACTTTTTTACTTTTTCGTCTGAGTGCTTGCTGTAAAGATGAGGGGTGTAAAGAATCTGGTGTTGCACTGAACAACCACTGCTGCCTTCCTACCAGTACCTTTGTTGCCAAAGTATTTATCATTGTTCTTGGCTACCAACTATGGCTATTCCATAGCTCATTATAGTAAATAGCAGTGATAATTAATCATTCATCTCATGTGGGGGACTTTCTGATAGTATTGTCACTGGAGCTTAGGATATAAAACAGAATTTTCGTCGATCAATCTCATTTAGGGTTGCGCACCCTCATTCGACTTTTATTCAGAATTGTAGTGGTGTTTTGCATGCGTATTCCAAACGAGTCAGATACCAATTATACTGTCCCGGAGGGATGGAAAGATGGGTCAGGCTAAGCGGGTGTCGACCTAGGAGTCGATGCCAGGACCATGCGTGGGTGATAGTATACCGCTTGCCACAACAACACTTGTTATCAGTCTCTTCTAGGCTCGTTTCTGGAATGCATAATTTTCTTGAGCTCTCAGGAAAGGTTACCCATAATGAGAAGTCTTCTGAAGATGACACTTTTTGATATGTTTTGAAAATCACTGTGATGGATCAGAATTCTTTTGAAATTATGTAAAGCTTGATAGTAACTGATGAGTAATTTGGTAGGAAACTTTTTTCGGAATATACTCACCCATTCGTTGGGAGATCCCTTTAGGGTGTGGTTTATCCATAACATAAATCCGTATTTTACTCATGCTTCATATTTCATGCAGTGTAGGATGTCGGAGAGGTTCTTCGTTTATCAGTATTCCCTCTGATCAGTTCTTGTCGATTGTTCATCTTCAACTGAAACCAGCGATTGATTCAGGACTAAACTGAGTTCCAAACCTTATCAAACCGCAACCGAATCAGAGTGTGGTTTGGTGCGATCTGAGAAAGGGCATTGGTCATGTGCTATTCTTTGTACTGCAATAATTTCAAAGTTTACAAAAACACGCCTTTGGGAGTGCAATGTAGCAGAGATTGAGCGTTTTGAAGGGTGGTGGTAAGGTCCGGATCTCGGTTGCATTCACGTATTCGAAGAACTTGAAGAGGGGGGAAGTGGAAACTACTTCGCAAAAGTCTGTCTATGATGGGACGTGATTGAAGTGTGTCGCCCCCAAAAAGATAATATAGCGCAGAAGACAAGAGAATTGCGTCTGATCCAAGCCCGGTGCTTGAAACAGCAGTTGTTGAGCCAGGAAGCAGGTGTTTCCAGGAGTGGGAACTTCCAACGTAGATAAGCCTTTGAGAAGAATCGAAGCTTATCAAGGCATAATAGCCTTACGATGCTGTCTGATAAGGGGGTGCAGACGGGACAAAAAAATTGAGCATGACTGCGGCGATGGTTGTTCGCCACAAAAAAAGTACGACCAAGATGTGGGATACCACAAGACCTAACAGAAATAGAAATCCAGTATCCGGTCCTTGCGGTAATATGACTGTCACTCTCGGCCGCTACGTGTGGTCCTGATGAAACGGAGCTCTGGCTAATAACTCAGCCATCTTTGTCAGACATTGAGGATTCGGTTGGAAAGGGCTACTTGCCATAAGCTTTCTTTGCACTAGGCGCAGATACTTCATGAAAAAAACTGCGACTCTGTCAGGCATACCTCATTGAAAATTAATCATGAAAATAAGTCCTTTAAAAGAAATTTAAAGAGGTTTGCTGACGATATTCAATGGGTATTGCTCGCTCAGCTGAATATTGTGGGCTAGAAAGGCCATCAGAACAGCCACCATTTCGTGGTGCCAACCATCTCACCCACCCCGGTGCTCCATTTTCCCTAGGGCCTGGTTGAAAAACATCCTTACCCTGACCAAAGTTAGAGAGCAACTAAGCTGACTACCCCTTCTCCTAATGCGCTCTAGCCTCTAGGGTTAGAGAAAATAGGTTCCCCTAACGTCCCCCCCCCCCCCCCNCCTCCCCCTCCAACTACATTTTCCATCGTTTTCCTTTAATATTGACCGGTAACTAGTTAGATATCACTCAATGGAGTTGTTCGGACGCTTTCAAATTGGCAATTTAATCCAACAAAGAATGACATGATATGAAAATTTCCTCATAGCCCAAAACAAAAACGCTCATTTCAACATCCGTTTGACTGAAATACGTCTTCTCTTTGAAGATCACTACCTCATACCGTTCATTTTGTAAATAATATGGGTCAGCAAGCAAGTGTTTCAAAAAAGACTTATTCTTCTCGTTACAAAAAATAAATACTTCTTCATTCATACATTTTCCCTCAAATACTGAGGCAGCTCGTCTCAAGTTATAGATATGTTTGAAAACATGCAGCTCTGCTTTGAGATACATGTTTGAAGACCTTAGAGAAATACGCTGTCACCTGATTACCAATCCAATAACTCTGAGAAAAGCTATGAGCCCAACATCATGAAGCGGCCGCTTTAAAGCCGTGGGCGGTGCTAGCCGTGATTGTCGGGGGCGGGCAGCTGCACGAGTTTTTTGCTCCGTGACTCCTGCGACGATATTCCTGAAAATCGTGGCTACCGGGAAAAGCACGATTTTTTTTTGTAAGCTGAGAGTTTCTTTGAGCTGCTTCACTGCGTTATCGACTGGTTGCGATGCTGCGAACATGCGGTGAACTTCTTCTCTCTCTTTCTCGCCGAGATTCTTTCCGTGTTTCCATGAACTTAAGTCTACGCTCGTCGGAGCAGCATTATTGATCGTTATAGTGTGATGTGTAGTGTTCGAGGAATGTCTCAGATATCTTAGAAATTCAAACCTCTTCTTGTGTAATGAATACAGCATTTATATTTATTCGTTAGGTGTTAAGAAATTGGTTCTGTCTTGTTTTTCTGTTCCTACCATTAATTATTTCGTACCGAGTTGGAATGGATTGTCACAAAGAACGACTAGTTTGAAAGGCACGCCCTCCAAATGTTCAGTATGATTGGTATCGCTCAGATTTCTACGAAAAGAAGTTGTTTCGACCAAAAGCAGAATTGAGGATCTTGAAGTTCGCTTAATTAACCAACTCATCGTTGAGCAGTAGTGGTGTGGTGGAGTGAAATGAAAATTTTCATTGAAGGTGGATTCATCGAGCATAAGAGTTGATCAAATTGATCTGTCACTTGGTCACTTTTTCGGGTAAAAGTTGATGTTAGGCTCAGATATCCTAGTATTTTTTGTCTTCTCATCGTTGTACTTGATTTCGACGCCTGTCGGGTCGAATCCTTATGCTCTCTCGTTAGGCTTGTCCACTTATGTTGTCCGACTTCAGGTAAAAATGTCGCTAGCCAGGACAACCTTGTCACCATTCACGAAACGAGCGATCTTTTCTATTTTCACACGATCTCTCAGCGGTACTCAAGGTATGTGCAAATAATCTTATTTTTTATTTGATTTTATTTTTATTATTATATTGCACTTTTTCAGAAGCTGACATAGTGGTCATAGGTGCTGGTCCTGGTGGCTATGTTGCTGCAATAAAAGCTGCGCAGCTCGGGATGAAGGTGAAGCCTTAAGTTTTCTGTCTTGGATCTATTTTGCTAATAGCTCGGCCTGCTATATTTCATACCTGGAGTTTTCCATTTAGACTATTTGTGTAGAGAAAGATCCCACTCTTGGAGGAACCTGCCTGAACGTCGGATGTATCCCATCGAAATCACTACTTAACAATTCTCATTATTATCACATGGCTCAACACGATTTTGCTAATAGAGGTTTTGAATTTTCCCAGTTCTTTTGATAATTTGATACTATTCTTTCCGAAGTTGAAAGCTACTTGTTCAGGAATAAAAGTCTCTCCTGCATTGGATCTCGCTAAAATGATGGAAGCTAAATCAAACAGCGTTAAAGCCCTCACTGGAGGTAGGACTTATTTATGACAGGTTCAGAGTGGGAATTTGAAGGAGGTGGGAAAAGATGAAAGGAAAGTAAACGTCTGTTGAAGTACTCAGCAGTCGTAGAGTAAGTAACTTCAGCTGCCTTCTTTTGAGACTGGGCTACACAGTCTCTTGTTATCTGTACGATAGTGAATTGATCGCGCCTAAGAAAACGGTTTATGTTGGTTTTTTTTTGTCTTTGCTGAGTCTTCCTATTTAGTTGTAAATGTAGCTTCTTCGCATTGCTTTGAATTTTATTTATTTCACATACCTAAGAAAGGTGCAGGGCCCGAAGGAAGATGTGAAAAAGAAAAAAATACTTTATTGAGCAGTAGGAAGCAGAGTTGATTTACTGCAAAGCGACAGTTTTCGTTAACTGAGCATTGAAGGAGTGGTTGTTGAAGCTTGTGCTAGCGGGCCTTCTCCATAAATCCTTTGAAAGATCATTTCACGGTAGTGCATGAACTTTTGTGCCCTTGCAGGTATTGTGCAGCTTTTCAAGGCCAACAAAGTTGGACATATTCAAGGAGTTGGGACTATAACTGGACCAAATCAGGTTAGTCGTATTAATCGAATGTACCTACGACTTCCTTAGGTTTTCATGTTTTTATATATTACTATGAAATTTGTGAGATGTCCCTAGAATGCAAATCTTTTTTCACACTCCATGCGAATAGTGCTCCATAGTGTGCTTGTGGTCTATAGCTTATTTCCATGGGAACGATGTTTTTACATGTGTCACTCGACACACGTTCTTTACTGAAACCAAATTAGCGAAAGCGTGGAGAAGTGGGCGGTACATAAATGGGAACGTAGGATGGAGTAGTTAATCCTTGAAATAAAATAGAGCTTTAGCAATAACAAGACACAACAGTATACCAAAGACTCATTGTTGGCTTTTTTTGTTTAGGTTCAAGTGAAAAAGAACGATGGTTCTGTCGATACTGTGAATACACGTAACATCCTTATTGCTACAGGATCAGAAGTAACACCATTTCCTGGAATACCCATCGATGAAGAGAAGGTAGTTTTCAGAATAAATTCAAGTGTCTTGGAGAATCGCGCAAAAAAATTTACCGCCTTCCGCTTTTATCAGAGCAAGGCGAATTTTAGAAAGAGAGGTTGAAATCGCGATCGCACATGCCACTTAACTTGCTAGAGGCGGGTTATTCTGATATGAATTAGGGAGTGTAAGCATTGTGCGTTTGGTATTTATTACAGCAGCATGCCGTTTGGTATTTATTACTTCTCAATAATTTCTTTTTTCCTGGAAGCAGAGCGAGTTATACTCTACGGAGAAGTTTGTGTAAATTGCAGTAGGATTGGCGAACAGATTTCTGCGATTGCCTCTGCACCACGACGTTTTTTTATTCCCTTTGGTGCGGTGCACCCGCAGTCTCCAGGGAAGTAATCACCTCTGAATTATTTAGATTATTTCTTCGACTGGAGCGCTTTCACTGAAAGCTGTACCCAAGAAAATGGTGGTTATTGGTGCCGGAGTTATTGGACTGGAGCTGGTCGGTCATCATTTCGTTTTCCGCGTACCTTTCTCCTTTTTCAATGCGACACTTTGGTAGGGCTCCGTATGGCAGCGACTCGGTGCTCAAGTCACTGCTGTTGAGTTTCTCGAACACATTGGTGGATTCGGAATTGACATGGAAATATCAAAAACGTTCCAGCGCACGCTGACGAAGCAAGGAATGAAATTCCTTCTCAGTACAAAGGTTACTACCCGTTACTTCTCAAGAAATTTTTTTTTGCTAGTTTATCAGTTTTCCTTCTGTTTTCTGTAGTTCTGTGAAACATACCGGACTCTGTTAAATGCATTTGCTGTAATATCGAAGGCGTTCTTAGATTTCAAGAAAGTTGGCGATTTCTTCCTTTTCAGGGAGAGATAACTGAGAATGCTAAACTAAGGTCGTTTTGTTTGTCATTTAAGTCCGTAACTTTTTTGCACAGACAATTACTTGAGAGGCTCTAGCAAAAGATAGTTACGAGGCATGATGTCGGGGAAGCGGTGTGCGGGTGTTCCAGACAAGCTTCTACGATTTCGTAGTTGTGATGGTGATGACTGTTTAGTCTTTTGCAAATCGATTTCTACTGAAGTGAAAAGATTACAAAACACTTTCTAGTTTTCACACATTTATGCAGGCTTAATACTGACACTTATTGACAGGTAATTTGGAAATTCTTAGGTCTCATCTATGAATTGAATTTAGGTAATGAGCGCTCAAAAGAATGGAGATAATATCAGCGTCCAAGTAGAAGGTGCGAAAGACGGCAAGAAGCAAACTGTAAGTTGTTGGGACTTTTCACAGCGCTGTGGGATGTTGTATGTGGGACTTTTCGCATCATCCTGATGTTGTTTCCTATTTAGCTGGATTGTGATGTACTTATGGTCTGTATTGGTCGACGTCCTTACACAAAGGATCTGGGAGCGGAAAATGTTGGTATCCAGCTTGATGAGAAGGGACGAGTGCCAGTAAATGAGCGTTTCCAGACAAAGGTGATTTATTATTAGGGTTGCTCCTCAAAGGGGGTTTTCATTTTGTTGCACTGTAAGAGTAGCACTAAGCGAGCTGATTGCCACTCTTGCATATCTCATTTATAGGTTCCTTCAATATACGCAATTGGAGATTGTATCGCTGGACCTATGCTTGCCCACAAAGCTGAAGATGAAGGTGAGTCAATAATTTCGATGCTGTCTTTCTGATATGTTTGAGTAAGAGGTTTGAAAATTTTCGAGCAATCACGTACCAGCACTTTTTTGCTGTGATCGAAATATTCTTTACGACTTTGTCCTTTCTTGCTATTTCGTAAAAAAGTCATAGCAGCTCTATTATCGTTCGGTAAAGTTTGCCTGTTTTCTCTACCCCAACTTTGCTATTATTATTTCGTGTTAGTACTGCATCATCACCTCTCATTAATGTCGACTCTTTCATAGGCATTCTTTGTGTGGAGGGAATTTGTGGTGGACCAGTGCATATCGATTACAATTGCATTCCGTCAGTTATCTACACTCATCCGGAAGTTGCTTGGGTAGGAAAACCCGAGGAGCAGCTGAAACAAGAGGTACTTTTTATTCGTGCCCTATTGATTTCACGACTTTGTTCTTAACAGGCGGTCGGGAAGATATTTTAAACTTCACTATTTGCAGAATGTGCAATACAAAGTAGGCAAGTTCCCATTTGTTGCAAACTCGCGTGCCAAGACGAACTTCGACACCGAAGGATTTGTGAAAATTCTTGCTGATAAACAGACCGACAGAATGTTGGGAGTACATATCATTGGACCGGTCAGTCTTTTTCAACATGAGAGAGCAGTTATTATGTTACTAAATCTCCCTCCACTATTTTTTCCAGTTCTCAAATTTTGCAACTTATTTTTCAAATGTGACCTTGTAGAACGCTGGAGAAATGATTGCCGAAGGTGTCTTGGCACTCGAGTATGGTGCTTCTGCAGAAGATGTTGCTCGAGTATGTCACCCTCATCCGGTAGGTCGACCTTTTTTTCCTTGTGCTCTTATTGTGACGACTACTCCTTATTTTTGTTTCCTCTTCCGAAAATGCAGCTGCACATCTGGTTGTTAAAAGTCTTTTCTATCTGTTCCTCATCAAGTTAGGAGTGTTGTAGCTTGGTGTACTCTGCTACTTTGTATTGTAAGTATTACAGGTATCCGTATTGGGTCCAATTCATTTCATGATTGCTTCGCTAGTCGCGCTCTTACTCTTGTATAGCAATAAAATGGTCGTTTAGACCATTAGTATTTCTTGTTAAAATGTGTACTTGCTCATTATGAAAATCCGTCGCCCGCTTCCCCATCTGTTCAAAATTCGACAGTTCTGATTGATACCAGTCTAACTATCAAATTGTGAGACCACTGTGCTCCTGTAATTCTCCAGTGATCTTCACGCCATCTAGTTCAACCTAGTTCTCGCTCGCCAATTCGGCTCGTCCCTACTTTGAATCTTGTCATTATAGAACCCCCATGATGGTTTTTTGAGTCTGTAAAGGTTGGCTTCCCTTATCTGGTGTATGCATCACTGAGTGATAGAGAGTGAACATGTGGGAGGAAGAACGGAAGGCTCGACGGACACCCTGTGGGCCAGGGGTAATACATACGTACGTTCTAATCCTGAGTTGCAGAGGGTGTATCGTACGCATCTCTTCCCTCTTCCAAAGAGCCAGGTTTCTTTTTGAAAAAAAGTCGGCCTTTTTTCAAGTCTTTGGCCGCCTCTTTCAAAGTACAGTCAAAAATTTGAAGTTTTCCTTCGCACTTGATCGCTCCGGCGATCGCCTGCTCTTCCTTGGTGGCTCTCTCCTTTGAGCTAATGTACCTGTTATTCGAGATCTATCCATTTCTCCCACCTTCGGGCTTTGTTAGTTCTGATTTTCCTTTCTTCCGAAATGAAACCAGTCATTTAACCATGTGAGTCTTCCTCACTTCATGCTAACCTTGAACCTTGTTCAAATTGATATGAATAGCTTTCTTGTGAGGTGGGTTAGCAAGAAAAGGAAGGTTGGTAAGGGTTTATTAAAGCCCTAATCCTAATTGATTTGAGAATAGTTTCCTCATTTGAGGTAGTACTCAAAGGTCTGAACGCTTTTTTTGTTTTGCTCTTTCCGAATAATTTCGATCCTTTCAGACTCTTTCTGAAGCGTTCCGTGAGGCGAATCTGGCTGCTTCCTTTGGAAAGGCAATTAATAGCTTGTAAGCAAATATCTTATTGTTGATAGTTACACAATTTCGTTTTCATGATATTCCATATGTGCTTATGCTTCGGGAAGCTAGTTAATAATTGTTTTTAATCGTGTTTCTGATGAGATCATGACGAAAATTTGTTCCTCAGTTTTTAGGCTTTGTTTTCGTGTCAATTGTCCCAGTGGTTAGAATTCTAGTTTAGTTAGATCCCCGTGGTTGAGTCTGACGAGTAGCTGTATTAATAAATCGTTATTGAGATATTCAGGTCGAGAATTGTCGATTGTGAATAAAGACCAGAAAGATTTGATTAAAAGTCCTGAAATCGGAATCTGTGATTCAGAAGGCCGAGTGATTGTCATGGGCGCAATAGCCGATTTAAGGTGCCATACAACTTAGATAGAGATGATGTTTCTAAAGACTCCTATAACTTTGGTCATGTCTTCATTGCTTCAACAATTCATTAATAGATTCCGCATCGTAGGAGAGAGTGGGAAAGATCGTGAAAGAATCAAATTGAGCCGTGAATCTTCGATACAGGCACTCGCATCACATCCCCATGTCAAACGAAATGGTTTGGATAATTAAGAGCTACAGAGTAGCTCTCCCAAAGCCTAAAAGTAATGCCGGAGTCATAATCGGACTGAATTTATTGACCTGCTCACTTTTATATAAAAGAATCGGTGGTGTTCTTGTCCGATTCTCCTAAAAATATCCAGGAATCTCGTTTACTGAATCTTCGCTTTCGGGATGAAATAGTCTTCAACAAGGATTTAGAGTTCTTAATATAGGATAACCCATTGAACCCGGAGGCGCTCAACTATAATACCTTAACCTTGCCCACGGCACGTGGTTAAGGATGCTGTACAGTTGACAGTCACCAGAAAAGGCAGCAATTCGACTTCTCTCTACACTTGGTGAATAAGAAATTAGGAGCAAAAAAATTGGAAAAAACTTCGAGAAACAAGGCCGAAGTGTTTTCTTGAAGATCAAGCAAGATTATTGAAACTCCGAACTACAACAAAAATATGAAGTTTTTGGGCGTTAATCAATCCCGTAAAAGGGGTTCGCCCACGCATTCGACTTCCACTCAGAATCGTAGTGGCGTACTGAATGCATATGCGGCCTACACAATGACTTGCGATGACCAGCCGATGTACAGGTCAGTGCCTTTATCCTCCCAGATGAGTCTGGTACCAATTACGTGACCCCGGAGGGGTAAGAGGCTTAGTGAGCCTAGCGGCTATCGATCAGGGGTTCGAACCATGCGTATGTGAGGTGTGCCACTTGCCACTACACCACCTTCGCCCAAATTTTCTCAATATTTTGGAGTTACTGGATGAGATGAGGATGTAACGATTAAATCACAACCTCAAGTCACGCATTATAAACAGGCGGTTGATTGAGGAGCGTGGCTGAAGCATCGCAGAAGGCGCTAAAAGTGTAATAAAATGGTAAAACCGAATTTCTCTTCTAACAGGAACTTTGCAGTTTACTGTTTCGTAACCTCGGTGTTCGTAACGTTGAGTACCGATTGGCTGCTTTCATAGTCCACGATTTGGCCCGCGAGCAAGCGAGGGGGCGACCGAGGATGGCGCTTGCCCCTTGTTTACAACTTAATCTTGGTCGATACCGCCGGACGAGTAGTCCTCCGGCCGGCTCGCGCGCTCGTTCGCTCGCTCACGGACTATGAAAGCAGCCGTTGACCACAAAGAACACTATTTGCTTTTAAAAGATCCATCAAGCAGGATGTAGGTGATAAATTAAGGAACGGATTAAAATTTGTTTTAGACAGTAGAAATAGCTGGGGGCCTTCTTCAATGCACAAATTATTATAAAGAAAACCAAAAAACGTCATTGACCACAAAGAACATGTGGCAGAACGAGTGAACGAGGAACTGTTGTTTGAAACCCAAATTCACAATTCTTTGGTTTAGGAATAAATTTTATTTCAGTAATTTGCTACTTATGACATCATCGAAGTAGCTGCGTAATCCTCCCCGGACATCGGTGAAGTGTTTACCTTTTCACTGCATATGATGATAGGCACCTTGAAAAGCACTTGTGTGGCTGTTAGTATAGTGACTTACGGGTTCTGGCATAACTTTGGACTGTCAGATATTAAATCACGTCGAGAAACCGCACTGCTCAACCTAAGGTAGATATAAAGGTAAAGCCTTTGGGCTTAATCAATCCGCCTGAGGGATGCACCACAGCATCGTACTTGCATTCAGAATTGAAGTGAAAGCGTATGTGTAATTTAGATGACTTGCAGTAGCCAGCCGTGTACAACTCACTGCGTTCATCCTCCCAGACGAATCTNGTACCAGTTAACCGACCCTGGAGGGATGGAACGCCTGGTTGGCCCAGACGGATCGAGACCCGGGATCCTCTGATAATGCGCCATTTGCCACTATACCTCCTCCACTTGGGTAGATGTACGGTTTTCATGATGTTGCTGTTTGAGAGCTGATTCTAGAGTTTCCTATTCTATTAGCCGCCTTTTCGTTGGTTTAAATACCATCTGGATGTAACTTGTAGTACGGCTAGTATCATATATAGTGACCCCAAGTCGCTCCATGAACTCAAGGTAAACTCTAGGTAAACGTGCAACTGTTTCAGCAGCTGTAGTCAGCTGTTTCGTTATCTTAATTTCTTGTTTCAACATTCGACACTGCTGTTGTTTGAGAGGAGCTTTTTTAAACACTCGTCCATCAAAGACAGGAAAATGAACTGATGCGACTGATGCAAATTCGATAGATGCAAAAGGGCTAAGTAGACGCTGTGACTACGAGAAACCCAATTTGTGCTCATTGGAAAGATTGTGGTGTTGTATCTCTGTCTCCACGTATTTGTTTACGGGTGTCCATTGAAACCCGAAGGTGAGATGCTGCCAGCATTCCTACGATCAGAACATCAATTCATCTTGCCAACCAGGCTCTCCTAAATCCACTATCAGCTAGTTGATTCTAGTCCTTTTGATGTATGCAGTTGGTAAACCAAACAATGATCCTTCTAGCTACTACGATTCCAAAATGATTTTTAGCAGTAATACTTCATTCTACAAATCGGTTTTACCTATCACAGCCGATTTTCAATTTCTATATTCACGGCTGTGGTGCGTTAGGAACGAAATGGTCGCGTCGCGGTGATAGGGGCGTCGCGCGCCAAGGAATGTAGCAGGATGCAGCAGTAGGTAAGAAATACAATAACAAAAGTACTAATAGTAGAATTATGCACAAAATAATGATCGCATATCGATTGAGCTGTATGAAGAACGCTAGAGCTGTAATAACGGCGAATGAGTGGTCCGCAAATCGATTACCCAAAATCGTTCCTAATGCCCGTCTCCCCTATATTCACCACTATGGGGGAGTGCAATTGTGGAGCAGTTGGTGTAAAGTTCACGTTACGTTTACGCTCGTGAGATTTGATTAGACGGTGCGGATTTATAGGAAGCTTAAAACGAGATCAGTGATGAAGAACAGGCTGACTTTGATGAGGGTGTGCTGCTTTATTAACGGGAGACAATGATTAGCCTTTAGAAACGTGGATCAAGGGAAACAAAAGCTTATACAGTACGTCGCTGTTTCTGATGCTAACCTGTTCGCAATTCAATGTACTTCTCTTACGACGCTTAAAATCGTCCATTTCAACGTATTTTATTATACTTCGCTACTTTTCCAATTAACGAAATTGTTCTGAAATATCTTGTAGTACGAGGAAATCGGAGCGGAGAGCGCCAATATTTGCTCCTCCCGCCATGCACCTTTTCGCTATAACTATGGCAGGGAAGCGATAAAAGCAAGATCTGTGTGGATCAGGATGTGGAAGGTGGTTTTGCATTTCTACGGAAATTGTGCCTTGCTCTCTCACGTTATGTGTGCATTA